CTGCGGTATTTATTGTTGTCACTTGTCACCGCTCTCCGACATCGCGGTACACACCCGTCCTATCGTTACATTGATTCCATTTCGCATTACCCGCGTTGAGTGTTGACCGCCGTCGATAGCTCGCCGCGGTACCTGCTCGTCCTATCACCGCGGCACTCGCGAAACACGTTGAAACCTGTCGTATTCATTACCGCCGTTGCCGTCATAGACATATTAACTATGGTTGCCGTACCCACGCCGTCACTGTATTCACGACACCGCCGTACTCACGCCGCCGCGGTGCATACCTACCTACGTACTGTCGTACCTGCGTCCTGCTTTGACGAATACGTGTTTATTTCGACATCGGCATTTGTTTGCGCCGCAAACAGGTCAGTGTAGTGTTGTGTGCATGTATCGGTGCGTTTCACAGTGGCAGCCTGCGTCGGCGGATGCTTATCAGTAGGGCCCGGATTTTTATGCAAATGCATATTCTTCTACATTTGACCAAGGGCGCACCCAAAGGGGTGGCTAACGAGCTTTAGCCCCCCCCCCCCAAATGGCTAAACATTTTGATAATTTTATTAGGTTTATTGACAAATTTACATTTTACTTTAAATTGTTATAAAAAAAAATTATCAACTATCGAAATTGAAACATTAGGTGTAACATAATATTATATTATATCATTGATTTTATAATTTTATTAAATTTATTCCTGTCATTCCGGGCCCCGGGAGAGACCTCTGTTGTCTATTATTATAGACTACGGCAGGGGCGGAGTGGCCGGTCTGGAAATGGGAATTTTCCAGATGGCCTGGTGGCCTGGCCATTTTGTTAGATTTTTTTTTAATTTAATTTAATTTACAAAATATTAGTTAATGCTAAATGCGTCGTAAATTTGTTTCTATTAAATTATTGTACTGCAAATATTATTAATGCAATAATAGTACATTGTGATAGCCTCGTACAACCGTATACTCTTATGAGAAAGTTTTGGATATAAAATTACAAAATATTTGGTACATAAATATAGACATCAAATAAAATCAAAGCAATATACCTAATATTGACATAGGTCGGTTATTTTTATAATAAAACACCCATTTTAAACATTGAAGTATTAATTAAAAAACAAGCTGAGAAATTCAATGACCAATGATTATCTTGAGTCTTTTATGCTAATGGCGAGAAATTTGGTGGGTGGCCTGGATAAATTTTAAACTCCCGGCCTGGATTTGGTTCCCACTCCGCCCATGGACTGTCGCCCCTGCGACACTTAAAACCGAGACAAAAATAAAAAAAATTTGTTAGTAAAAGATTGTAAAAAAGCTTAAAGATTTTTGTACATATTTCAAAAAAAATACTACCTATTATTTATTAATATTAAAATTATGTGAATTTAGCCCTCCCCAAAAAAAAATCCTGGGTGCGCCCCTGCATTTGACGTATAATAATTCTGATTAAATATCTTGACGTTTCGTAGATTCGAAAACGTAGATTCTACTGTTAATTTTTTATTTTGCATATTTTTGCATATTTGCATCAAAATGCTTAATAATTGCATATTTCGGGGTAATTACATAAAATGTGCATATTTAATAAATACTTGATAAAATATTTTAAATTTTACTCAAAGTTTGATAGGTATATATTAAATTATTCAATGAGTATATATTATGGCCTGAAAAAGTGTTATTGTATGTCACAGACGCCGCTCCTTATATGGTAGAATATGGACATGCGCCTAAGGTATTTTATCCTAAACTAATCCATATTACTTGTATGGCCCATGGGCTTCATAGATTATCAGAAGCTATTAGGGATGAATTCTCAAATGTTGATTTGTTGATATCTAACACAAAAAAAGTTTTTTTAAAAGCACCTAGTCGTGTAGGTACTTTTAAAGAAAAATGTCCAAACTTAAGTTTACCCCCACAACCTATTATTACTTTTATTACATTATTTTACAACTTATTATTAATTTTTCAATTTGATAATTTAAAAGCACATTTTGTTACATCATGTTGGTATTCTTTCAATAATTAATACAAATTTTTATGCTTTATACACATTTTAAAAAATGATATTTAAATTGTATTTTTTTTCCACTTAATACTATATTTTTAATTTTTGTATTTTTAAACAATACATTTTTTTGCATATTATTTGCGTATTTTTGAACTTTTGAGTGCATATATATGTGCATATTTAACAAACATTTTTGCATAAAAATACTTATCTAGTTATCAGGCATTCGTGTGCGACCGGCCACCTGTGGAAGCATTATCAATGTTTTCGTTATATTTGGTCACGTTCAAAATTTTAAGTTGTTTTTCGTGTAGTCAAGCTTTCAGTGTCATAAAGTTCATAGTTTTTTCCGTTGGTTATTGTTTTAGTGGGGTGACACTGAAAGACCGTCCGTTTTGTGTTTTTTCGTTTTTGTGCTCGTTGCTGAGCAGTTCAAGCAAGTAGCAACGTCATGGTTGTTCCATCAGTTTTGTCATGAGCTGTTTGCAGTCGTTCCAAACCACGTTATTATGATAATGTGATTAAGTTTCTGGTAATTATCGTTCTCAGCAATTTTTATTGCCATCACTAATTTGTTGTTCCCAGTATAGGGTGGTCAAAATTACCAGAGATTTGTGTTGTGATTCAACGTGTTTTGGTGTACTTCGTTGCACGTGGGGACAGTAGTGCGAACACTAGAGATCCTGTGCCGGCTGCATTCAGTGTGTTTTTGTTTGTGAAGTCATCGTCAACAGTTGCTGGCACACATTCGCACGTACGCAGGGTCAATTTGTTTTTTATTGTAACTTATTGACATACTTACAGGCCCTGGTGCGGTAACGTGGGTGTAAAACCAGGTGTGTGTCTCAACTGTTATGTGAGTATTGGTCGACCAAATATGTGTGTGTGTATGACCGACGGGTCCTAAAGTATTATTTATTATTTATATTCCGTTTATATATTACAGCCAACCAGGCTCATTGTTCGATTGTTTTTATATTATTATTGTTTGCCAACCAGGCTCATTGTACATTGTACACTTGTTATAACCATTAGAGGCTGACAATAAACACTATATCATTACCTTACTGCATTATTATTCATTGGCGTGAGGGTGTACTTGGCGTTTCACTTGATACACCAAGCATCAAGCGCGCAAACACCATTCAACCACCTGCACTTACCCTTTCCATGGGCGTAACTAGGATTTAATAGCTACAGAGGCTAGAGTCCTAGAAAACCCAAGTTCAAGATAATTTGTGGGGGGCTTTGCCCCCACACCCCCCCCCCTCGAAGCATCCCTAGCATTTAGTAATCACAAGAGTCCTCTAAAATCAAAATTTAAAATAAACCATAGAATCAAAGTATAACCTAGTCAATAAAAACAAATTTACATTATTATTTATAACTGTATACGCCTATATTTTGATGAAAATAGTTTTAAAATATCATCATCGTTTATTACATTAGATAGTTCTCTTTCTATATTAAGTATAGCCAGATCACTAAATCTGTTTTGGGTCATAGTTGACCTAATGTATGACTTAATTCTCCTCAAACAAGAAAAAGATCGCTCACACGTAGCTGAGCTTATGGGTATAGCAAATGCAGTCTTTAATAATGAATAAACATTTGGATAAACTTCTTGTTGTACAACTGATTTTAACAGTTGAGATTGTGTTTTTTCTTCAACATTCATACCGCTTATGGATTTGTCTGAATTTTGAGCATTTACCAAACACCTTTTTGCTACTTTTAGTTCACACTTTAATGCATCTTCATCTATATTAAATAAAGACTAGAACAAAAATCAAAAGAACTATGTTTAGGTCAAAGTATTATTTAAATGTAAAAATATAAAAAATTCTCCACCGATTATGTGTCAAATTATTTTAATATTAGTTGGCTGCTATTTAATTACCTTATAACTATTAACGGGTAGGTACCCATTTAAAGATAACAAATATAAGTGGGTTTTGGTCTTCGGGACATACAATACAATCCTATAAATAAAATACTTTGTGTAAAACTTTTAACTGATAAACAATCATAATTCATAAAAAGTCTCATACCCGCGTCGTACATTCAATAGTTAATGTACCATATTAAGCCATATGTGAACAATACCTAATAATTTATATATTGTGATATGTCATTACTCATTAGTATTTATTGACTCAATACAATACGTCAAGACAATTTCTTCCGCTATAACTATAGGTAACTAATTACTTATAAATTTGTTTTTGGTACATCCACAATAAAACAATATCAATATGTATAAAATATTAATTATTAATTATGACTATTATGAGTTATGACATATGAGTTATTTTAAACATTTTTTTTCTTATTTTTTCGGATTTGGGTTTTAGCTACAGGCTCGATTTGAGGCTAAAATGTAAAACCTTCTAGGGGGGCTAAGCCCCCCCCTAGTTACGCCGATGACCCTTTCACGGGGGATCGTCAAATATTATATTATATATTAAATAAATGATGTTTAAAATCAAAATTGTTACGGAGATACATCATAGGCCCATAGGTGTCCAATTTTAAGATAACAAATATATTTTAATTTTTAATTTATTAGACTCACATTAACTTTTGTTTACCTACATATTTTAATTTCATTTTGGTACTGCTTACAGTTTAAATAACTAAATATATTCATAAATCTAGTTACAACATAATATTATCATCAATTTTTAAGTGAATTTTTTTATGTATTGAATTTATTATACTGTATGACTGCCAATTGATAAACAAATTCACATTGTATATTATATTTGTATGTTGTAGACATCAATATGTATATCATTGAATAAATATGTTTGATAAATGTAAATGTAAAAAAAAATTAACTCAATTTTCTTATATTTTCTAAAGTATACCAAACAATAATATTATATACATTTAATTTCTATTTAAAATGAAAATTCTTTTTTTATACTTAAACTATTTTCAACATAACAGTTTTAAGTTATTTCCATACTGATAATATTCTTATATAGTTATATCCTTTCAATTTCTTCATCCGAATGATATACATCTGAGTTTGTAAAACAGCTAATTATATTGAGTGAGTTTAGGCCATTATAGTAGTTCCCCATATATGTTTTTTCAACATCTTCTTCTATTAATACCACAGGGTACTAAAACAAAATAAATTTGTTAAGAAGATAAAATCATTGCATCTGAAAAATGATTCTGTGCACATATTTTAAGATTGGCAGTTTTTAATACTTAGTTAAAAATTGATTGTTTAAAGAAAAAAAAGGTGAACATTTCTTATAATATATCACTAACCTTAAACACATGATAATCATGTAAAATAACAAATACCTACCACCGAACTCATAACATACAATTAGTTTCAAGATAATATGTACAGTAGAAGCAGCTTATTAGGAACACTTTTGGAGCGAAGTGAAGTGTGTTAATTAATTTAATATTTCTAATAAGTGATTGGTTTTACTTATTATGAAAAAAATTTTAAATTTTAAAAAAAATAGGTACAATGAAAAAATAAATTATATTATGTAAAATATATATTTATTGATATTGTTTTCCTCTGTTCATACTGGCCCAATGAGTTAAAAACCACGTTTGCTGCACTTAAATAGGCTTCTCCCTGCTCTATGTGTGCTTTAATGAAATACACAAAATTATAATTGGATAAGTAGAATTCGGTATCGATTGTAACAACATAAGATAATGTTCATTGTAATTAGTTGGTACATTGGGTAATGCCAAATTACCGGATGTTGTCGTCAAAATTGGCTCTAATTGTTTCAATAATAGGATTGATTTACAATGTTTTAATATACGGCCAATCCGTATTTTGTTTGAATATCGCGATTGTATTAATTATCCGTGTTCCTAACAAGCGGAATTTATTGTATTTCTTATGAGTCAGAATATTAATAAAATATGTAATTTACCTTTCTCAACTGGCGAATGTAGCCGTTAGCAAGACCATAGAGTACTAAATTTCTTTCATCCATATTTATTGAGACTGTATTAAACCTTAAGCAGAAATCAATAAACCGCAATCCTTGTCTCATTGCAGAGAACACAGTAAATATGTCTTTGAATGTGGCTTTTGAGTTTTGGTCCACCTACAAGAGAATTTGGTTATTAACATACATTTAATATCAAATAAAAATGTTAAATGAACTAACTAGGTCTTGAGATATCACTAATAATTGCTTCATCATAACAACTTTTATTTCTTGCGAGTAGTCCAATTTTAGTAGTACATACATACATGTTACTATAACGAAATAGGTAGGTCTACTAATGAAACAGCATTACAATAACTAAAAAAATAAAAATAACAAATTAAAACAAAATATTCTAATACATTGTGTCAACTGAACAGCTGAATAATAGATAAGTGTTACAAATATAATAAAATTATTTTAATATATTACACTAAATTTTGAATACATGCAGCAACCACTTCAATGTACGATTTAGAAAGTTCGGAAATTTTGCATACATGATTTACTCTATCTATAAAAGGAGCTACCTGAAAACCACAAGGATTTATAATATTTAATTACATAACTTTTACAACAACATGACATATTGCAATGTGAAGAATACACTTACTTGTCTGGTAGTTAAATCCCACTGTCCATCTAAAAGATCTATTTCAGGTACTGGTAACGGAACATTAAAATCCAATGAAGTAGGTAGATTATACGTGAAACTTCAATTACATTTAAATAAATAATTGACTGTCGTGCTATAAAAATCATAATTAGTAATATGAGGTAAGTACTTTATTACATGAAATTTTATCATCACTTTATCATTCTGTAAACAATGTTCTCTCGAGAGTGTCATTAGTGTCCTTGTAAGGTGTTCCGTCAAGGCACCATCATTGTGGGCTATGACCATGCCCATCTTTGAATTCACCATACATTTCGGGGCGTCCTTTAAGCCAGCTTCCAAAATTTGTCTGAAAGTAGGTAAATAGACAATTATAGACAAACCGAATTTTATACACCAGTGGCGAAGCGTGGGTTTTAAGAAACTGTAAAGGTACGGTTTCCCTGCAGTGTCTGACGCCGAAACCCTAGATTATGTATTTTGTGTGCGACTGGTTTCGCTACTCGCGTTAGTACCGGTCCTAGACCAGTGTTGCGTCAAGACGCCCGGCGTCAACATGTCAAAAAAATAGTAAATTAGGTCAGGTACTAATCAACAAATTTTTTTAAATCGTTTAATTTATTATATTTCTACCCATATTTCTATTAAAAATAAATATCAAATTTTACCTCAAAGTAAGTGCTAGTTTTTCCTCTGGAGATATTGGCTCAGGTACGTGTAATGTCGGTTTCTTTGTCATTACTTCTTAGTTCTTGAACCAAAGATAAAATAAAATTGAATTGTTTACAATTTAGACGAAAATTTTCCCGAAATTTTTCATCGTCGTTAATAAGATGTCCACCAATCAAATTTTTAAAGAATCCTTCAGAGTTCCTCGTGGAAAACAAACTGTTAAAAGGTTTTCTTTTTTTTTGGAATAATGTTCGTAAGTAACTCATTTTAGATTTCTTCGTCACGAAGACGAAGTAACAACTCACAAACAATATTAATATTATAAATAATAGAGTATTAGAGTAACCTTTGGTATCATGGCACATGGGGCAAAATGAACTACTCACTACTGAGTATATCAAGAAATTTAATAATATTGCTATCTGGTCAAACATTTTTGTTATTATGTTTATGTTATCATAGCCAAACGTGATAAAATATTTTTTTCAGCAATTGCTAATGTTTTGGCGGCAATATGAGGTAAAATATTAATTGTATTCGTCTGATATAAAACTTGAGTAGTATAGAAGTAGTAATGTGTACTATATAACGACACGTTAGATGTTGCTTTTATATAATATATTCGTTTAGTACAAGTAGGTAATCATAGGCGCAACTAGGGGGGTGCTTGGGGGTGCTTCAGCACCCCCAGTTCAAAAACAGCAAAAATTGAAAAATCATATGAAAAAAATAGTTTTTTTAGCTTTACTTAATATTTTTTTTTATTTCTTCGTTTTTAGCAGAAACACAAATTATTGTTTGTAATGATTATAGGTATATCAAAAATTATAACTTAGAATTCTACAATTTTTTTTTAATTTTCAGTTAGAAATTTATATAAGTTTTTCCTTTCATAGCTAACATTATAAATGTTGATAGAAAACTCCTCACAATTGGTACTATCTTAAAGAAAAAAAAAAGTTTACTGGAAAGTAACATACATTTTTTATGATTGTTTGAATCTAAAATGTGTACAACATAGAATTTTCAATTTTTATCAGTAAACTAATGAATTTTCATCTATCAATATTTGATATTTTGTTGTAATTTAAAAACGAATAATCCTAGATGCTTGAAATTTTTATCAAATGTTAAAATTAAAATTGTCCTTACATGGTAAAATGTTTAAACAATTTTGACTCTTTTTGAGGTATTTGTAACTGAGAAATTTTTCAAATATTTTTAATTATTTTTATTTTTCAGTTAGCAATTCATAAAAGATTTTCTTTTCACAGTTAAGGCCCAAGATTAAAAATGTTAATAAAAAATTTCACATAAGTTTGTCTACCTATAAAAAAAAGTATACTTCAACTTGAATTGTTTATGTTTGTTCGAACTTAATTGTTAATAATTGTAATAATAATTGTTACGATATTCAATATTCAGCGGTAAATCGAATTCCCATTAATCGATTTTTTGGATTTTGTTGTATTTCCAAAATGAATAACCGTAGGCTCTTGAAATTTTCACCAAATATTTATATTAGCATTTTCCATACATCGTAAATTCTTTAAAAACTTTTGACTTTTTATGAACTATTTATAGCTATTAATGAGAAAATTTTTCAAATTGAATTCAAATATAACACATCCATTACAACGACATTCTCAGCAACTATTGTACAGCAAAGCAGTACCCACTTGACCACATTTTTTTTATCCATTTATATTTCCAGGTTACTATTTTTATCACCTAAATAATATAATATACCCCATGTATTCATCATTGTTGATTTACTTAAATATTAGTGTCCTTATGAGTTCATGGTGCATTTAGAAATGGTTATAGTAATTAAAAAATCAAAGTATGTTATTTTGGGGTGTGTTCTCTACATAATTTTAGCACCCCCAGTGTTTAGCCTTTAGTTGCGCCTATGAGTAGGTGACTAAACGAACGAATGGTTAGTAGCGCACGCACGCGAATCCGAAATACGAGCATCATCGCCGTCGCGTCCGTTGTCCGTGGTACCGCTGAAACCGAAGGTCAATTTATTGTAGCGCGCACGCACACGTAAACGACTCATAATTCATAAAATATCATAATACACGCGCCGCCGTGTCGACAGTGCCGCCGAACCGGACGACACTCACTTACGCACGCGCACGCAATCGCCGTGTATTCGAAACCGAACGTCTGTGCCGCCGCCGCATACATGGGATAACACCAGTGCTACGACTATATACTACTATGAACTTGTATTACTCCGAAAAAAATTTTTATTGTCAACCATAATACTGCTCCGATATCAATTACTTCGAACATATATTACTACGATATTATATTATATTACTCCGACATATTTGGATTTTACCGATAGAAATAACCGCATGATAAATAATATTAATAATATAATTTATAAGTTATGTAGCCTAAATTATATCAACCTAAATTAATCTAAATCCCCAGCATTTACGTATAAATTTACATATAAATTTACATATAAATGTATGACCTATAAACCACGAACTGGGTATAGAATAATTGCCGCTGTGCAATACTTGGATAGAGTTGAGTAATTCTTAGGATTCAATTTTATCGTAATACTTACTACGTAATTGACCAAGTTACAGTCATATTATTCTGTGCAGAACATTTTACTTGTCAACTGTAAATCGCGTACACGTATTCAATGTATTTTATGGCTAATTTACCAACTGTACATAGGTACCTACCTAGAAAGACTATTCTGAGAGGAGACGGTCTGCCAGCCTAAATATATTTTATTAAATCCCTATTATAATCAGTGGCGTAGCCAGGATTATGAATGCAAGGGGGTTACTTACATACTTTTTAATAAAGTTTTAAAGTGATGTACTTTTTCTAGTACGTTAGTGAAATAACCTGCGTAGACGTATAATACTCAAAATTACAATCTTTAAAAGTTCATAACCTTGGAACTAAGTCTAGTAGACAAATTCTGATTGCATCATTGTGCTTAACTCATTGAAATATACATGTATAGGTTATTAGGTTCCCGAAAAAAATTCCCAAAAATCGAGCTAAACTACATTATTTCTGATGATTTTAGACGTTTATTTGAGATATTTTAAAATGTTTGTAACTTTTCAACTTTTATCTGGTAGAAAATAAGCTCTGATCATAAGCTTCGATGGCCGATGTATGTTTTTGGAAGTAAATTGGATCTAGTTGGTACTTTTAGGAGGTCGAAATTGAAAATGCTCAGTGCTTTTTAAAATAATTGGAGAAAAAAAAATGAAATGTATTAAAATTGTTTGGTAACCAGCTTGGTTATAACGTCCTCACTTGGGTTGTATTTGATTAATTAAAATGTCTATAAATTTCAATGAAAAAATATTTATTCGGTCAAAAACCTATTATAAATGTAATTCGTAAGTTTTTATTTCAGCTAAAATATTAACGATACATAGGCACCATGGTTATTTTTTATAAGCATTTTAAGACAATTGAAACTTTGAAACTTGATAAATTTGTTTTTTAAAGTAATAATAATACGGGCAATGGGGGGGGCTTCAGCCTGTTAGCCCCCCTGCAAACTTACTGGTTACTGTTATATTTTATAAACTTCAAATGTACTATATACTGAAGGCAGAATGTCAATAAAATTGTTAAGAGGACGTGTCACCCAAAGCTGTACGCATGCAACGACCGAGAGGATGCGCTGTTAGGTGTTTTCACGATCCGCAAGCGCGCGGCGTTTAAGTCACGCCTACTATTCGCAACCGGCCGACGGCGGCGACGAGTGCTCGTTCGGGACTTCGGAAGCGCCGTTTATTTGTCTATGAACGTTCGTCCAGTACCATTCGTATCATTATATAATTCATTATACGCAAATGCCGCCGTAATATTTTCAATACCCTCGCGTACCTACGAACTACAGATTATAAATTAAGATACTGTTTACTTAAATTTATGTCCCAACATATAGATCGTAGAAACTGTATTATAACATAGCTTG